CCCCATTGCTGAGAAATATAACTCACTGGGCAATGGGGAAAAGCAGCACACAGGAAAACAATATCAACATGGTTAGAATGTGCCTGCCAACTGTTCTAGTAACTGACCAAGAGAAAGATAGATAAGGTTCAAATGTCAGTCCACAAAATAATATGTTCTCAGGTGAAGTTTGGGACATGGGGCCAAGATTCAGAATAAATCAATCATTGTTGTCGTCATCATAACTGAACTGCAAAGCTGGAAAGAATCCTATGGATCATCATGTCCAGCCCCTCTCAAGGAGGCACAGTGGGGAACTGAACTCCTAGCCTCTAGTTCTGCAGCGGGAGACCTAAGCCACTGAGCTATCCAGCAGTTATTTTTTATAATTATCATATGCCACTGAGCTATCCAGCAGTTATTTTTTATAAGTATCATATGTCCATCAAGTCAATCATGATTTATGGCAACCCTTTTCAGGGTTCCCCAGATAGAGAATACACAGAAGTTGTTTACTATTCCTCTTTTCTGGAAGCATCCTGGTACTGTGTAGGGAATTGAGCTCCCAACCTTTGGCTCTACCTAAACCACTAAGATTCGGAACAGGGGTGCTGCAATTGTCAAGCTGGCTCTAAACTTTCCCTCTTTTTACTGGATTTTTCATCATCAGCCACGTCACCTCTAGGAATTGAGGAGAATCTTATATCAATTCATTTCTAAGAAGAATTTACCAACCATTGCACATTTCTTCATGTTTAGAATGGAAAAAACTTGAGGGTTTTTTTTGTTTGTTTTTGTTTTGTGGAGGGGAAATCATATATGGGAAATAGAGGCCTAGACAGCTTTGCTCATCCAAGCTTCCTCTTAAAGGTGTTTGGAGAACCTCAAACAGAGAATATCTGGCAGGTGAGGCGGGGGTAGAACTCAACCTATGCTGAACACAGAGAGGATTAGTTCCAAATGAAGGAAACAAAAATGAGACAATTTCCATATTTTCCAAACATCCGTCCAAATCAACATATTTAGTTATGCTTCAGAAACTCATGTTTCTTTTTCTGGGTTAATCTGAGTCTTCAAATTATGCTGTCTTGAAATAGAATGTATATATGATGTTTAGGTATTCAATTACTTTAGCTTTCTAGAGAACCCATTTCAGCTGAAAAACGTGAAATGTATAATATAAAAAAAAGAAATGCCATAAAATTTCTTTATTTTAAACTAACAAACCCCAAATAAAATGCCTCAATTGTTTACCTTTTATAATTTTTCCATCTCACCATTATTGATCTTAGAAAGATCCTATAGCACCAATTATTATTGTAGATTTCTATTCATTATAAAGGAGGCATTCTAGATCCATGTTTGCAGGAAATGAAGTTCTAGATTTAATCTCTCGCATCTAAATATAAAAGAATTTCAGGTGGTGGAGCTGGAGAGATGTCTTAGACACCCAACCAGAGTAAACAATACAGGATTAAATAGACAAATGGGCCATCTCAATATTAAATACATTCCTTCTATGATATACACACATATATGGTTCCCCATCCCAGCACAGAAGGAAGACCTTGGTCAAACACCCTTTATTGTTGCAACTGCTGGATGAAAATTCCTTTAATACAATTTTGGTGGTCATCATTTTGAATTTCTCCAAAGGCCCTGTCCATCGTTAAAGTTAGACCTATTGTCTTGATCTGTTCTTCAGTGATATATGGAAGATATTGTTTGATCCAAGCCAAAACACCTGCCTTGAAGATATCATGGAACAATGAAAACTCTGGTCATGCAAAGGAGCAGGAGGCAATGATAAGTCTTTTTACTAGGCAGGTATGTTGTGGCCACAGAAACAGATACTTGCTCATGAATTCAATGTACGTGCAAATAAACCACATAAACGCCTTAGAAACTCAAATTACTATGCTATGATTAGACTCTTGGTTACCACTGGCTTGGAGAATGGGTGAAAATAACATGTTACTAGTTTCTTCTCTTTCCCTCAACATGTATCTTTTAAAGTAATTATATAAAGCAGTATAAGATATGACCACTGGAAGCTTTTATTTCTCCTCAAATAAAACCCAAGATTCCTAAGCCAAGTAATTATTTGAAGGGACCTACTAGGTATTTCTACATTTTACCACTCACAGACCAGCCCCTCATGAGTACAGCTGGTGTTTCGGATGCACCGTAACAAGCAGGTTTATGTTTCTGACACAGCAGTGATGTACTTAGAAACGAACCCAACACAAAATGGAAAGAGAGAAAATGAGTCAAAATGATCCTTGGATAATCAGATTTTCAAATAAACAGGGCAAAATAACACAACCCATTCATTTCAAGTGCTATTTAGGCTGAGAGCAATGGTTGGCAACCCCATTTTCGCTTTTAACATCCTTCCTACCAAAGGCAGGAATACTAATTTTAAGAGCTGCTGTATCTGTGGATAAACACAGCAGAGACCTAACCACTCTCCTATTGATGACCCATTGGAAGTGATAGGTAGGGCCCAAAGACCCATGGGTGGAACTTCTTCCCACAATCTGTAGAACCTGAGAGCTTTCATTCCATTCTGAATTTCCTCACGAGGGGCCCCTCAAAGCAGGAATTTTTTTTTTCTAGAGCAACATCCAATTTGAATGAAGGTGAAATTGGTCTGCAAGTCCAGACAAAAGCAGAGTGTGTACAGAAATTCTGGGTTGAATATTCTGGATTCTTAGAATTTAGCCCATGGCTAAATCAAAAAACAGGTGCACAGGTGCAAATATTTAGGTTGAGGGAGCCAGTAATGAAGACCCAGGTTAAATGAATGGCTGATTCAGGTGAATAAAACTATTCTTGCTCTGCAGCAGCTCAAGCTGAGGGTGAAGGAACATATGTTTCCATGTTCCACAAGTAATATCTACACACATCACAAAACTAGCACGGCAGAGAGAAAGTTGGGTTGGTCTTCTACCTAATTTTTTATTTGGCAAGATGGTTCCATTTTCAGCTGGAAGATCACTCCCCTGCTAATAGGCTGAGGTGGTCCCATCTAGGAATTGCATTCCATGATCTATAGGTGTGTATACTTGGCTTTCAAAGGGAATTATAGAAAATGAGAGCAGCAGAACGGAAGATATTTTGAAATGTGTCCCCTGTTGGAAGTCCGTGTGCAAAGAAGATAGTAGAGGGTGCTCTGGATCAATGGCACTATCTAATTTTTAACGAAACGCTGTGTGAAATGAAAGGAGATGACTCAATAGACAATGGTGCTTTGTGTTCCCCTCCTTCTCTCTATAATATTTAGACAAGAGTTCCCATGCTGGTTTATTTTGTTTCTCTTTCCCTCCTGATGCACCTTGTCATGTCTGACAGGAACAAAAAATATGGCATGATGCCATCATTAGGGATTGGGGGGGGATCCATTCATATTTTAATACAAATGTCCCTAAATTACACCTCCCAAACTACCTGGCAACTTGGAAAAGTTATATTTTGTTGTCTGCCCTTTTTAAAGCTTTGTGTAAAGTTCTTTAAACAAAATGTGCATTAAACTGAATATATTAGGGGAAAGGGATTGCACGTGTATGTTCATGATAATGCACAGGAATGCATTTTATTATGAAAAATAGATTGCAAAAAAGCATACAAGGCAAAATTGCCTGCAAAAGTGCAATAAAAATTGATTTCTTGCTGGCCTTTCTTTAAAAAAAAATCATGGAGAAAATAGGTGACAGGAACTTGAGGTGGGAAAAATGGAAAGCTTCACAAAACTCCTGTTGAGAAATCTGTCCATTCCTATAAAGTAAGCAAGGTATTGGAACGCATTAAACATTTCCCCTACCTGTTTAGCGACGATTCCGCATAGCGAGGGTTAATCCGGAACGGATTAACCTCGCTATGCGGGGCACCACTGTATTGCTAATTATCCATTGGTATTCAGAACTAAGTCATTATACAAAAATTTCCTCCCACAAACACAAAAGCAACAAAAGTGCTGTCTGTATCTAGTCATTCATTGACATGTGATCCCAGATCGAGCTGTACGGTCTTTTATTCAATTAAGCCATAAACTCTGCCCAGTTTCTTGAATTTTCTTCTGTTTTCTCTTTATGTGAGCATCAAAGATACACACATACAAATAAAGCCAACACAGCTTCTCCTTCACTGTGTTGCCCAACATTTGCAAACTCCTCATACTGTAGATCTCCAAAGTGTAAACATATAGGGGGATCTTGAATTTTCTTCTGTTTTCTCTTTATGTGAGCATCAAAGATACACACATACAAATAAAGCCAACACACCTTCACTGTGTTGCCCAACTCCTCATACTGTAGATCTCCAAAGCGTAAACATATAGGGGGAGGGGGGGTGTCAACCCTATTCAGGAACTGTAATGGACATCCCTCTTGCTGAAGTAGGAAGTTTGCATTGATACAAGTGTTTGGCATAGAATTCATCCTCCTGTCTAATGCAGCTGCAAAGGACATGTGCACATAATCCAGTAATTTCGGGATGGTCCCCACTAGACATTCAAGAGATGGAGCAAAGGCCTGGATTTTGCTTCTCCCTGCTAAATACAGTGATGCCTCGCAAGACGAAAATAATTCGTTCCGCGAGTCATTTCGTATTGAGAAAATGTCATCTTACAAAGCACAGTTTCCCATAGGACTGTATTGAAATTTAATTAATGTGTTCCTATTCGTCTTGCAAAGCACGGCAATAGAAAAATTTATCTTGCAAGTCACCAAAAAAATCACAAAACACTTTCGTCTTGTGATTTTTTCTTTGTACGAGGCATTCGTCTTGCGAGGCATCACTGTACCTGATTGCCACTCACAACACTTCTCAAACTGGATGTTTTTAGCATACTAGCCCACACCTGAACAATCACATAATTGAATAGAGGATGGAATATTTTTTTGAAACAGATAGATTAGTTGAAACAAGCGGCACACACAACACAATGCAAGGAAGCCATAAAAGTGACAGACGAATGTTTTATCCTTACAGAAACACAGGGGTCCTGGAGATTTAATTCTTCATCTGAAAAATATTAGTGGCATGTCAGGCTGTGTTATCTGCTGTTTAATTTTTAATCTGGGACAACTCTGATCATGAGCACAAGATTGGAATCCAAGGTCAAAGAGATGGTGCATTTTTTTCTTTTTAACTCAAGAAATAAACAATTTTTCTCTGCTTCCAAAGCAGGAAACCAGAACAAGAACCCCAAAACATACTACCAGTTAAAATCCAGGGAAATCTTTTACTGCCCTCAGTCTCAGTAACAGCGCATCTTTGGCACTTGAGAATGGTCACAAGTAATTTGCCTTTTTTATTCATAGAGAACAAAATTTACAAAGTCATTCATACATTTTTTCTTTTTTCTTTTTTTGTTTTTGTTTGTTTTTTACTGACTTTGAAAATTGGGAATATTCAAAATACACTTTTTTTAACCCCACTTCATTCTTTCATTATTTACAGATATATACAAGAAAATTATAAGAGTTTTTTTTAATTGTATTAAAAATCTTTGCTGGTTGGTTTCATTATATGGATGTTCCATGGGATGGTTCCATGGCTTCTGGAATGACCCCCCCGGGCACAGACTGAAATGACATTGGAATGGGGGTTTTCACAGGGCTCTGACGAAATAGTCCTCCATTGGGCGATCTGTGTTTACACTGTATAGAGGGCATGGTGGCTGAGCTGCTGAGAGGCAGTGGCAGGTTGCTTCCAGAGGCACCTGTGAGTGTCCTACTGGCACCATGAGTTGTCTGTTCTGGTAAAAAGGAGGTGACAGAAAGTTGTGTGTTCTGGTATTCCCGGACTGGCTCTAGGGTTTGACTGGGAGGCATGCCACCAATTTCCAAAGCTGAGATTTCAATGGACGCTGGAGAGAGTTGCTTGTGAGCTAAGTCTTCGTCAATTAAACTGTTCATACGTCTGTGGACCTGTTCCAGATTGACTTCTTTGTCCTATGAAAGAGGAAAACAAAAAGTAATTCATCCCAAAGCAGGACAGACAAAAAGGACATAGGAACAGATTTAACAAATTAAGATTGAATCCACCTTTCCATCCACAGTGAAACAAAAGGGTATGCAATTTCTGATCTCTAGGTAAGACACTTTTTAAAACTTCAACTGTAGGCTGCCTTTATTCTTGTACAGTGGTGCCTCGCTTTACGATTGCCCCACATTATGACGAATCTGCTTTACGACGATCTTTTAGTGATTGCAACTGCGATCGCAAAATGATGGTCTAAATGGGGGAATTTTGCTTTATGATGATCGGTTCCCTGTTTTGGGAACCGATTCTTCGCAAAACGATGTTTTTCTAACAGCTGATTGGCGGTTTCAAAATGGCCACTGGGTAATTAAAATGGCTCCCCGCTGTGTTTAGGGATGGATTCCTCACTATACAGGCAGTAAAAATGGCTGCCGTATGAAGGATCTTCGCTGGACGGTGCGTTTTTACCCCATCGGAATGCATTGAACGGGTATCAATGCATTTCAGTGGGTTTTTTTATTTCGCTTTACGATGTTTTCACTTAACGGTGATTTTCCTGGAACTGATTATTGTCGTTAAGCAAGGCACCACTGTATAGGATTGTTCTAGATCAGGGACCCATAACTTGCTAGCACCAAAATAGCTCACTGGCCAAGTATGGTAGGCTACAAGGAATTTCATCAAGTTGTTTTTGCTACCTATTGGAACTGCAAAAGCATGATGACTGTCACACATTTGGTTGTACCTAGCTAGTGGGTTTGGTTGAGTCACAAGTTGTGGAGTTTTAACGAACTGCAAAAGCATGATGACTGTCACACATCGGTTGTACCTAGCTAGTGGGCTTGGTTTGGCTTGATGAGTCACAAGTTGTGGAGTTTTAACCTAAAGGTTGGCTTAAGGCTTGACCGATGGGAAGATATTAGATTGAGGGACCTTGCTGAATGGAATGGACTATGATGCAGAGGGAAAGGGGATTCTTCCTCTTCCAAAGTCCATACTGATATTGTCTCTCCACTTGTAGAAGGTCTGCCCCCCCCCATTTGGGAGACCTTCCCCTTCTGCACCCATTCAGATTTGCCAATCCTTTCTGCAGCATTTTTGAGGATTTGGAGGGACTGGAATGGGCTGGAGGGGTAGGGATTGTATCATTGTTTGAACCCTAGCTGTGTCTTTCTATAGTCTTCCAGCTACATTGGTCCTGAAATATCTAAGGAAATAAAACTTCCCTCACATCTTCTTATGGATCCTTGAGCTTAGCATAAAGCCTTTGACTATATGGCTGTACACCATCGGTTGTCTGTTTTATTACATGCATCCATGTTGGAAAGTCCCTAAGGAAAATCAGCCGATAGTCCAAATAGAACCAGCCCACTGAAATAAATTAGAGTTGTGTAACTGATTGAATGACAAGTACCTTTAATTTGAATGAGTTTATTCTAGTTGGAACTAGCATTGGAGTTAGCCTACAACTGGCAGTGCATACTGATTGATAATATCATCCATCGGAATAATGCTCTCTCACACATGGTAGTGTGCACCCTCCCTTCCCATTGTTCCTATAAAACATCATGTGTGAAGCTATCCGCATGCAGGAGGGTGAGATACCAGGTTCCTACGAGTGAGATTTTAGCCAGCAGCTTGACAGGGGGCCAGATGCAAAGGGCTGCAAGGAGGAACCTGTTGTGGGTCAAATCTTTATAAAGAGGTATATAGAGAAAATAAGAGTGGGAGGGAGGCTCGCTAAGATTTGATCCATGAAGTGGGACTATACATATAAATTCAGTATCAGATACAAATAATAAAATCTACTGAGAAATCAGTCAGTGTGAATCCAGTACCCAATACCCATGCAATTGCCTCATGCTGTGGAATAATGATACCTATATCACCATGCTGTGTACCCAGTTCATTCATGTTAACAAGTAATGTAAGCTGAAGGAGGGAAAACATCCTGACATGAGAGGTAGTTCAACTCATTAAAAAATCTCCCAGAAATCTGAAGCCGAATAAAAATATTGAGGAATGTAGAGTGCAAGCACCTGATCTATAATTCTGACCTTCAGCTATGCATGGTCTTTTAATGAGAGCCTCCAAACTTCTTTCTACATACTGTCCTGTTGTTTCAACCCACAGTCCTCCTTTAATGGGGGTATGCAGGAACTGATGAGGATAAGATAATGATCTAGCTATTCCCAGTATAAGGCAATCTGCCTCCATGGCAGGCAGGTGAATGGTGTGGGAAGCGATTGTAATATCAGCCTCCACAATATGCACACATTACTAAGGTGATGTAAGATGAATCCATAGGCTTTTAGAAACCACAACATTTGTCCCATAATACAAATCTGGAAAAAAAATTAATTTCAGTTTTGTCTGCCGTTGACTCTGGAAGCTTTCCCCCCCATCTTTTTTTTAATTAATTGGGTGTCTGAGTTTGATGGGTGGGTTACTATTTCTTTTATCGCCGTTATCTGCCCAGAGTAGTGCTCTGTCACTAGATTGGGGTGTTAAAAATGTTTAATCAATTAATTAATAAGTATCTCTGAGATTTTGCAAATTCATACCTACATTAGGCAGAGGAGCTGATGGTACTCTGTCCCTGAAAATTAATCTCATACTCAAAGATTGCCATGAGACTACTAATCTGTGTTACACGATATTGAGTAGTGTATCTAGAAAGGTTTGGGTGTAGGAGTCATCATGACACTGAGGAAAGGAAGCGAAAATATTTTTCCTTCTTGAAAATTTCAAGGTATGTGTGGCCATCGTGAAAACTTCAATTCTCAATATTCCAGTATTTAACTGGAAATTATTTTTAAACCAAACCAAACAAAACCACCACATTTGTGAGTGAATTAGAAGGAATCGTGTACATGTTGAGGAGGTCTCCTTTAACCTCCTTCAGATATCTGGAGAAAAAAGAATATAAATTCAAGTTGTAAATAAATAAGCCAACATGTAGGAGGAAGAACAGAGTAGGAGTTAGGTCTAAGTAATTCTGCATCAGTTTTCCCTGTTGTTGTTTAGTTGTTAAGTCATGTCCAACTCTTTGTGACCCCATGGACCAGAGCACACCAGGCCCTCCTGTCTTCCACTGCCTCCCGGAGTTGGGTCAAATTCATGTTGGTCGCTTCGATGACACTGTCCATCCATCTGTTTTCCTTGTTAGGTAAGTGCAGTCCTATGAGAACTTATCTGTCTGCATGTGGGCCATCACAAACCACCCTCTCCTTCTGTTGACTTCTTTGCTGAGTTGTTGGAAGGATCATACGGAGATAGACCTGCTGACAGGATTTAGCATTTTTAGACTTTGCTGGGATTCCTGGGCCCAGTAGGTCCTACTGGCAATGATACCTGTGCTGGGCTTGCCAGAGTTCACTACCTTCAATTTGGAGTTACCTAGTGACAGCATCAGACAGCTGTGACTTTCCCATCATTTAGAATTTCCTATGAGGCACTTTAACAACCTTGCATTGGGACACTAGAAGTGATTAAAACAGTATGTGACTTGCATCCTCCCAGCTTCTTTTCAAGAACAAGACCTTCAGTCCTCCACCACACCTTAGGGGCTCTTCAGCTAAGAATGATTTTCATACTAATATTATAATGTGAAGAAAGTTATTGCAAAAGGAGTACCTAAATGCTTAAAATTTTCACTGTTATGACAGTGAAAACAATCCACCACCACAAGGCATGTGTCAAAAGTGGCCAGTAGTATTGCTTATACACAAACAGGGGTGGCCCCAAGACATTTATTTGATGGAAGCAAAGATGCAGTGCTCTCCCTCTGTCATGGTAAATAGAGCCCCAAGCCAACCAAAGTATTTTGCCACATAAAGCAAGAACATCTCATTATCATTCCTCTCTATCTTTGGCACTAAAAATAGAATAACAAATTAAATGGCCAAAATCCTGTTGAGAATTTATGATGGAGTAGTGCAAAAAAATTATAAACTTTTGAAGACGAATTGCCTTATGTTAAGAAATCACAGTAGACTATAGCCAGAATCCTGTATGTTGCCGTATAGCATAAAAATATGCAGGTCTAATATTACAGATAAGCAACAAGGAATTCTCAAGTCAGTTGTGCAACTGGACTCACAATTTTCTCATAGGTATTCAATAGTCTTTCGGCCATTATCTGTTGAGCCATGTGACTTTATGATATGTGGTAAATCATTTATGGTGATTTCTTGACTTGATTTGAGGCTCCCTAACTAATAATTTAGTGCTTTTTCAAGATGTCCAAAATATCATGCCTGAGGAAACCATTGTGCCCTGCAAAATGGTACAGCCAGCCCTGAGCATGAGCTATCATGGAGCTTGATTTAGGCCCACTTAACTTAAAAACCTGAATGACTGGCATGTCTGAGGGTGTTAGACACCAACTTTCTTTTTAGACTGACTGCAGGGCATCACATGTCTATAATGGATGGCATCTGGAGTCATTTTGAAATTCTGTCTCCACATTCTTTGTTATTATTGTTCAGTTTGTCTAGTCCATTTACAGGAACATAATTCCAAGTCATTCGGCCAGAAATTGCTAGAGGAGAAAAGGTTTAGTGATAATAATCAGCCTGCTGAAGGAAAGAAATGGGGGAAGTGTATATATCTTGTTACCATTTTTTTATGTATCTACTTTGCATTGTTAAACCAAATAGAGTGAATATAAACAGTTGGCTTTTAATTTAAATTAATTTATGCCCTCATTGGTCAAGACTTCCAGTGCTTAGCAAAGTTTAATCATACTACATAGATAAAGGTGAAAAATAAGACTCAGTGTTGTACACTAATTTAGCACAAACCTAGTCAACTATCACTTTAATACTACATGCCCTAAACGAACCTCAGCAGTTTTGCTGGGGTTAGTTTAGCACTTATAATATCTTTTTAAACCTTACTGGAACAGTACCTCCAGAGCCTACTTTAATATCTGCTGTTATGTGCCACTGCTACAAACTGGCCAACT